CCTTGCCCCCCTTGAAGCTTTTCGCCTAGCCGAAAACTCCAAGCTGGTGCCTTTCTTCGAAAAAAGTGGCAAAGAAAGACCCCCCTTCCACGTACCCCTTTTTTCTGCGGCGCGCCCGCGAGCTCAAGTGTGGAGGTGAAGCTTGGTTATGAAAAACTCGGACAAAGGGCAACAAGGATTTTTGGGGAAGTCTCATGTCCGCCAGCACTGCCATGCTTTCGTTCAAATATATATACGGCAGTTTTGGCAGCTTGCCACCTTCCAGCTACCATCAACTTATCGAACGAACCGTGCTTGGTGAACCAGAATGTTGCCCCCCCCCTACGTAACGAGTAGGGTCGAAACTCAAAGAGGGTCAGCTGCAACGCCTGCAGACATTCTGAAAACAGCCTACGCCAGGCAGATGCTGATGAGACGAACAGGGCTTGTGGTTTCTCACTCTGCTTCCAGGCCCCTACTGCGACCGTCAAAGTGACTGACTCGGAGGCACCTACACGTTTCCCACTCTTAGTCAGGCCAAGACTAAGGACAGCAGGGGCAGAAGCTGTCTTCATGAAAACGTGGGAATTCCGCAAGGTTGTCAACTCATCTGTGCGCAACATACCACAGAACCCCACCAGAAGTGACACACCGAACCCGAAGTGGCCATGTGGAAAAAGCTCCAGCCGACCATCGCCTCCAGCGCGGCCTCTGTGAGTGGTGGTGCCCTATTCGGGACTTCATTGACATTCCATGTCTTTATAAGTCTCCATGTCAACTGAAGCTGACCCTTAAGCTTTGGGTCTGCGTCCTGCAAGCCAGCTACCCTATCGGCCGCCAGGCCGCGGCCTTCCCCCTCGAACCACAGGCGCTCTATGTATTCCGCCAGGAGGCTGTCAAACTGCTCCCGTCGGTGGGGGATCTCGAGCGAGTTTTCTCGCAGGAATTCATAAAATTTGGTGCGTGCAGCAGTGTATCTATTGCTAGTCTTGGTGGAAACGGTGAGACTTCGTAGTGTACCTAACTCCTTTCGCTGTGCCTGCCTTTGCTGTTTCGTCTGACCTTCAAGAACCTTCTTACCTACTTTCCCCATCGACGGCGCACAGCCCTCCGGCTAGGCCGGTCGGCCGGGTTTTGTGAGGTATGTATGTATCCCCAAAGGGGATGAAGGTCAGCCGCCAACAGCAATGCATTCAGTCTCATGAGGATTGGTCTCAGCTTGCGACTCGAGCTTCGACCCCGAGTAAGCGCGTGTAGGCACACCAAACTGTCCGTTGGGTGAAGGAAACGTACCCCCAACTTCTTGGACCTGCTCACCTTCCATTTAATACCAGTAAAGATTGCACGCATTTCCAGGAGGTTTATGTGCTCTCGCGTTAGCTTCCACCGGCATCCCGATATTTCACGCCAGTGCCAGAGGCGGCCCGGGATACTAGCGCGAAGTCTGAAGTAGCGCGGGGCAGGGTCACTCACCGCATGAACCAACAAATCTTCGCCTTTGCTTGAAGCAAGCCCCAAACACTTAGCCACCAAGGGTTCCTCTGCCCCAAGTTCGGCAGCTCCCAGCCGCCCCGGATGAGGCGGACGCATCAACATAGAGGGGAATTCACGCGCCTTGCCGGGAGTGACCGCATCGACAATATCCTGTAGCTCCATCTTGGGCCCCACTCCCAACGGTTGTGTAAGCTGGCCACAAGCAGCCAAGCAACTACCCCCACGTGCCAGCTGTTGCCAATCATCGACATGCGGGCATCCTCATAGGTTTGTCCCTGCTGCTCAGCTTTCACAACGCAATGCTTCGTGTAGCCTCCCTCTCTCTTGAGCCGTTGGCCTCCGCCACTCTCCTTGTTTGCTCCAGAGGCCATGGCTGTCCCCCTGTACTGGTACGGCGGGAACCGGTAGAAGTCATCATACCATCTCTGTAGCTCATGAGTTGCGCATTGCTCAACTCCCGTCGGTCTCCGCCCGGGAGTACTCCTTGGCCGGGATGTGGTGAATGTCGGCTAGTGGCAACCATCTCTCACACTCCAGCCTGGTAGCAACAGGGCTTTGCTATCAACCTGGGCATCCAAATGAACTTTGTCATAGGCCTACGCCAGCACCGGTGGAACACTCCCATGTAGTCCAATACAACCTAGGTCGTGCACATAGCGACATGCCTTTGGCATCCACCTTGAGAGGGGTTCTCTGGAAGGCCTCACTCATAATGGCTCTGTCCGTACTTGACATGGACGCTACGTTCTCACCTAGCTCATGTACCTGGGCCCAATAGAATTCCCTCCGAAATATTGCTGTGATCAGGGGGGCTTCCTGAAATAGACAGCTGCGCTCATCCTTGAGGGCGCCCAGGCACACCACAATGATCAGCCCTACGTTACTGTATTTCAGTGCCAATGCTTTGACGTGCTCTCACCGAACTCGCAGACGTCCTCGAAAAACTCAGTGTCTGGGAAAAGCTCTCAACTACTCTCCTACACTTGGCGTCTTTCTCAATGCTCACATGGCCAGCCGTTGGCAGCCCCAGGACGTCACACGCTACCCGGAGCGCGGCAATCCCGTCGAACAAACCCACAGACAACACTTGTACCAGGTCGTGCTCTTCTGGAAGGTCACCTCGGGCAGGACAACCGACGAGGGTTGAGGCGTCTGAGCAAGTCACTTCACCAGCCACCGGCGAACGGAACTCCATCTGGGCTAGAGGGGTCAAAAGGATAAACCGGGCGATCTCAACCTTGACCTCTTAGGGCAGACCTAGACGTACAACAGGGGCTTCGCCTTCAAACCGTTTCATGTGCTCGAAAACCGCGTTGAGACTCCCGAACAGTTGACGACGAAACATGGCCAGATACACAAATCCCCCGCAGACCACCTGCAGTTCCCGCAGTGTGGATTGCCCCCTCGCCAGGAGCTCGAACCCTAGTTTGCAATACTGGATAACCTTTTGCGGCTTGGGCATGGCATAGCGTGCCTCACCATCCAGGAGAGCACCTTGCAACTCTCCCAACGTCACTCTCTCAGCTGCTTTCTTTGGGTGTCGTGGTAAGCCATGTTCAGCGTACATATTGCGCAGGGTTTCCTCTTGTGGTTTCACTGTGCCCTTAATTTGCCCCGCCAGGTCAGCATCCACCCGTTCCAGGGCATCAAAGTTGTCCAAATAAACCCGGTACAAATCAGCGGCTGAGCTCATGGCACGGTCTTTGCGTAGTTCGCCTTCAGCTCCCACTGGAGGCTTACCTGTCAGTGCCGCCCATCGAACCACGTTCCGGTGTATATGCTGTGCGACGCTGACCGAGTTCAGGAACCCCATGGGCAATACGCGTGCGACCAGGACGCAAGGTTGGCCTTGGAACTCCTTTGGGATCAGCTCCTCTGGAACAGCTTTGTTGAATCCCATGTACTTCTTCCACGCCGTAGGAATCGAGAACAAGTAGAAAAACACTTGATATCCTCTGATGATAGTAGGGCGACTTCCCCCGACCCCAGGAGAAACCCACTAAGGCCTGAGACCGCAGGAAGGGTTCCCACGTCGCCTTGAAGTGGTTTACATATCTGGTTCACCGGCACCAGATTCATGATCAGGCGTTGGGTCTCAATGGCCGACTTGAACTCACCCTTGCCTACAGCAAACATTCCGTTGAGCAATGGGGCACCGCCAATATGGTGGAGTTGAGAGACAGGCCAAACCTCACAAACCCTCTTTTCAATCAGCCCACTGCAAACGCCCGTGGTGGTTTGACTCGCACCTGTGCATCCTCAGGCAACAAATACTTCTCAAATTCATCCACATACCCTTTCGTGCCCAAAGTGCAAAAGTCCGTGAGAGGCAGACTCCCTACACCTTCCGGGAGTGATTCACTCACGGCTGCCCATGTCACACTCTGAGCTAGTTTCACTTCTTCCCCACAGTAATCAACCTTGCGCCTCATGAAAAAATCACTAAAACACAAATGAAAAATCCGGGACCTCCCACATGCGATTGCGAACGATAAGAGCCGCAAGCCTCTTTTCTGCCAACGAGCGGACACTAGTCTCCCAGCACAGGTTGAAAGGACGTATAGATAGCCTATAAGGCTGTTCGCCGTATAGTCTATTTTCTGCTTCGGCCTTGTCCTATCATGCTTCCACCTCGCGCCTCCCCGGGGCATCAAAATGGAGTTGTAAGCCGTTGTAAGCTTCCTTTGTGGCGCTGGCGAGCAAGTCTTCACGGCGCGACGTTGAAATCATATGGTGACAAGTATTACTTTGTTGATCTTCTTGCAGACTTTATCAGGTTTCGACTTGAGGTTGCCACGGGTGACGGCTTGTGCCAAGCAAATACCTGACCTAAATCTGGGGGGGTCGTCAAAGCTTTCGCTCCCTGCGCTGTCTTTCAACAAGGTTGGGGAGAGCAAAGCAAACGCTCAGGACCGAGAGGGCGCAAGCATTTCATGGATCAGTTGTGGACCAAAACCTTTTGAGCAGAAACCCTTTCAACGGGGCTGAATGAAAGGCATGTTCCAAGCAAGCTCATAGCACGCAGGTCAGGATTGCAGTTTAGGAGGACTTGCGACCAGCCATCGCAGCTTGGAAGCTGGGAAGAAACGCAAGCAACTGGGTGTGAGCTTCCAGAATTTCGAAGGATAAGGAGCTTGTTATATTGTCGCCGACTTGCAGGGCTACAAATTGCACAGCTTAGCATGTGGAGATGTAAAATGTGGAAACTAAAAGAGTGTCTACCAGGGTTGCTCCCCAGCCTCCCCGTGGGCTCCCGTCCATCTCATTTAGTTCACGACTTTCTCTTGCCGTCCCCCTTCCCTCCTTTCCACTTTCCTTTCTCTCCTTTGTCCTTCCCTTTGGACCTCTCCTCCCATGGTCTGTTCGTGGACTTCTGAAAGACCTTCGCCTCGTGATTCGCCGCCTGCCCTGCCATCTGCACTTCTGTCGACCCGTTGCCAGACCCCCGCGGTCCAGGGGTAGCAGTTCGAGTTGCCGAAGCAGGTCGGGCCGCATGGACTTGCTCAACCCCTCCAAGCTCTTCAACTGGGTCATCACGTCCATGGCGCTGGCAGCTCTTCCTTCCAATAATAAATCCAGGACTGCTGACCAATGTAAGGCCTCCCGGGCCACGGGGGAGCCATACTCGCCATCAGGCGTTGGCGGCAGTATTGGCTCACCATGGGACGAAGGCTCTGAGCCTCTGCCTCGTGAAGGCCCGCCCCAAGCTGCAGCATCATCACCCTCTGGGCTTCCAAAATCATGGTCGATGTCAGAACCCCGGGGTATTTCCGCCATATTCGTTGAGGCGCCGACACTGGGGCGAAGAGTTCCTCGGGCGGACCCTCCTCCTCCGTTGAACTGCTGCCGGAAGAGCTGCTGGAGCTGGATCCTGATGAGCTCTTCCGAGTTCGGGCCTTGCGGCCCAGGCGTTTCGCCTTCTCTCCGCAGCTTTCGACGAATCTCCTCTCTGGGATCTAGTCCTGTTGAGCCAAAGAGTGCTTCTTCTTCGTTTTCTTCTTTTTCTTGCTGGCCGACTCCTTCTTCTCTTCCGGGGGCTCCCGAATCGCCTCCTCCGCGACCCTTTGAGGAGCCCCCGGGGCTGCCCCGACTTCGGCCGCTTCTCTCCTGAGCACCTCCATCTCGTCTCTCTCGGCCTCCCTGACGCTCACCTCGGCGTTTCTGCTCCATGCGAAGTCCTCGTAATGACAGCGTTTCAGCCTTTGGGCATGGATCAAACCCTCCTTCCTCGTCAGGTAACTGCAAGGGTCGTCGCACAGATGAACTTGAAGTATATAGTTTGGATGCCTTCCCTGAAAGCAGCCTCAACAACTCCTCCGATGTCGTTCCATGAGCCTTCAATACCAGCATTGTGCCTTCCTCCCCGACCTCCAGGGTCTTCATCTCCCCAATGACCTCTGGACGTAGATTGCCGGCCAGGAGTTCAACTCCCGTAAATTACATTCACTTCTGAGGCCTTTTCCCAGTCTGCCCCGTCCGGGATCGCGGCCGCTGGCCTCACCCTCACCCGGACCCTCCTTGGGGCAGCCGCTGGCCGTCTCATTGCGCGTTTCGGCGCCATGTAGGATCACGGCGCTTGTTGGCGTAGAAGTCGATGTTCCTCCACGTCTTCTTGAGTCCTCGATTCTTTTTCTTGGGCTTTGACTTCTTGCCTTTGCACTTCTTTCCTTTGGAGCCTTTACCTTTGCCCCGTCCTTTTCCTTTCTGCGGAGGGGAGTCCGGCTCCGGCGGCTCCAACTCCGGGACTTCTTCCTCCGGGAGGTCGATCTCTTCTTCTGACCCCTCACCAGGGTAGATCGTCCTAGGAGAGGCTTCTTCGGGCTGTTCACTTGCCACCTCCAAAGACGTTCCCTTGAACGTGTAGTCTCTGGGTTCTCCAGCACTGGAGGATTGATCCTCTGGTGTGTGGATACTGGGTGGGCTCCTGGATGGTGTCCTCGGCCGTCGTGTACTTGGCGCCGCCTTTGGATGCAACTCCTGTTGGCCTGGCGAGGGAGAGACGTCTCGCCTCCGCCGCCTCGACCGACCTCGGCGCCGCTTGCGCTTGGGGCTGTCCTCACGGTCGTAACCCCCTCGGCGTTGATGCGGGAATGGCGGTAGTCTCTTCGCCTTGGGCTCCCTTGCTTCGTTCTCGTCGGTCTCAACCTCCGGCTTTGAGGCAGCCGAAGACGGGGTCTCACCCTCAGCCCCCTCAGCAGCTCCTGAGGCAGTTCTCTCCGGATGGCCCTTCTCCTTCTCCTCAACAACCTTGGCACCCTCCTCAGCTTCTTCCTCCTTTACTCCCGCCTTGCCAGGAGCTTCTTTCTTGTGACCAGGTCCGCCTTGATCTCCACTGCCTTCGGCCGGCGTTCCAGCGGGCGGGGGAAGAGTTGGGCCTCCAGGCCTCACTTCCCCACCCACCTCAGCCCTGCTTCCACTTGCGGCTGAGGCGCCCCGCACTTCCAGGGCGATTTCAAGCAGCTGGGTATAAAGTCCCTCAAAATAAGGCCGTACCCGATCTCGGAAAAGTGGAGTGCTGTTGGCTCCGAACACCAAGCCGGCTACCTTCCTGAAAGTGCGACACAAAGGGCACTCACAGTCAGCCGGCGGATGCGGCCCCCCCTCACCAGGGGGGCCGTCAGGCATTGCTGAAGCCAAACACACTGCGGATGAAAGAGAATTTAGGTCCGTTTCGTTTTTACATCCGCATACGTGACCCATATCATATATGTGATAAGCAAAAAAGGCACATCAACTCAAACCCAAACGGCTAAGGCAGCTAAGGATAGCAAAGTTGGCAAAGGAGCTGGGAGTCCGCAAATTCATGGATGCCACCCTTCAAGCCAACACTGAAATATCCCCAACAGTCGCCTCATTCCAACCGGGTCAAACTCAAGGCCACAAAAGACGACTCCACCGACTACAAACATTTGAGGAATCATTTCTGTAAGAAACAACACGGTCATTGATAGAAAAAAACAAAGACATGTTTAAGATTCAAGCAGGCAACACTGAACATCTGAAAAGCAAAGGATAAATATGATAAACAAAAAACAAACCATGTTTGAAACAAGAACATACAAAACACAAAAACCTGTTCGTGTGATGGCTCTGGGCGGCCCGAGGACTGAAACCTCACACTGTTGATCTTTCCACTTGTGGGCTTGAAGCCCTCATCGGGGTTCTCGGCGGTGATCCGGCTGGCGCAGCAGTGGGAGGTGATGGGTGGATAGTCCACGGCGAAGAAATCAATCGGAGAGTTTTGGGTCGGGTCCATGCCATAAAACCTCGGATGAGAGGCAGGATATGTCCAAAACACATGATCACATGGTCAAGACTTGTTTTGTCAACACATGCTCGACATATTAGAGTCTAGTGTATAGTATGGCTCTTGGGTATGGGATACAGAAACGATTGAAACCATCTAAACAGTGTGCCAAACCTCCGAATGTCCGGGATGTTGTACAGGGGCAAGCCCATGGCGATCTGAAGCTGCGTGGCAGGCATGTTCACGCCAGTGATGGACTCGGTGACTGGATGTTCCACTTGAAGACGGGGGTTCAACTCCAAGAAGCAAAAGGCATGCGTCTCCGGACCTTGCTGTGACTCTGCAACTCTCTGCAACTTCAGGTGGTTCAGTGTCGAATGGGTTGATGTGGATGTGTGTAATTATTCATTTGGACGTGCGTGATTAAATAGTGTGATCAGCAAGGGTTGATGAACGTTCGCCAAAATAATGCCATCTGCTTTGGAGGAACTAAAGCAATTCACATCATGGCCTCACCGCAAGAACTCTGGATAGTCCAAATGACCGAAAGAGCTGTAGTATGTGATTGAGTGCTGTCAACTGCCTTGATAAGAATGTATGCATAAGGATCCAATCTCGAGGCCGGGGTCTTGCTCGTGATTCTCTAGATATACAATCGAGAGACAGGCTGGCTATTATATGAACAAGCAAACACACAAGCAACAACAAGAAACTGACTAATATCATTTAAAATTAAAACATACATAAAAATAAGTATTATAATATATAGAAAATAAGTGTCTTTTTAAATATGTGACCCAAAGTTGAGCCATCACAAAACAAACACAATGAAAACATATGAACACATCCACCCACGTTTCATGCTTCAAAAGCGTTTAGGAACTTTAAAACTCATCGTCTTGACGCACCTTTGAAAATAACAACAAGCTTTCTCCATTTCTCCAAACCCTGAATTCTCTATAGAGTGGGAGGTGCAACTGCCAATTATTGCATACATAGAATACATATGTGTGTGTATATCAAAGGACTCCGATACCCCTTCCGAGGGAGTCAAGCTCACCGGGGCCGAAAGTCAATCCACATCCCACAGTGGCAGAAAAAGAATTAAGGACATTGATAAGGTCAGTTTGTTTAGTTTGACATTGATCAATGACTTGAAGATCCACACTCTGATAAGGGTTTGGTGCAAGCGCATTGCGAGTCCAAAGGACTGTAGAGATATTCCACCGTCCCAGCTCCCCTGTAGCCCACCAAGGCCGTCAAACGCATGGCCGCGCGCTCCATCTCATGAAAGACCTCTTTCTTGGCAATGGTCGGTGGGCCTCGAATCGTAGCGTTGAGGCTGAAGCAAAACGAACTGAAAGGCTGAAGCAGGCTGAAGCATTTGATGCGGTCCATCCAACAATTACAACGTCAATTTGATGGATGGCTCAGTGTGATGAATGAAGCTCATACTGGCATCCTTATACAGTATATCCTTAGTGTATCAAACAAAGGCCGGCGGCCTGAACGTACCAACACTCCAGGTTTATCTGTCACAGGGAGCCAAAAACAGCTACACTCCCCGATAAAATCATGGAAGTGGAAACTGTTTGTGGAGGAAAATGGTCTCCACGGGGCTATGTCATATGTTTCACATGTTTCACTTCCATGATTATTTCAGGGAGCGTACACAGAGAAAACCACCATCAACAAGTAGTGCAGGCCGAACCTTCTTCGAAGATCTTCTGGAACCTCCTCTGAGTTGAGCAGTCGCGGCCGTTCAACGCCAGGGTGTTCCCATACTCGTCTCCCAGGATTTGAATCTCCAAGTGTCTCGCCTTGAGGTGGCTTGGTGGGTAGGCTGGTAGGCCCATATTGACAATACGGAGGTGGAATGTGAGGAGGGGAAGACCAAGAGAAGTTCAATCATCCTTGGAGCGCTCGACACTCCTCCGGTCCGACTTCACGGCCCACCACAACTGTTTGGTGCTTTAGACAACGCCAAACTTGGTACACGCCCTCGGCCCACTAACCACCACGCATCCAACTACCAACAAGCCAAAAAAAACTCAGAGAAAATGATACATTAAACTAGAGGACTTCTATTATTTGGGGTTGCAGTGCCTTGGAGACCATCCGCATGAGGAAGATGGGCGACCCAGGTACCTCCGTGAAAACGTTGGTGTAGGCCACTTTGAGCTCCTTGTGGCTAAACCAGGCAATTCGGGGTAAATGTTTTTCGGCTGCAACTCAAGTGGCTTTGGGCTTGAAGGTGGCAACAAGAATGAGGTCTTGAGCACTTAGCAAATTGGAGCTGGAACCTGGTGTCTTCTAGCAGCTGGAACCATCTTCCACCTCTCGAGATCAACATCGGCTTGGAGCCACTCTTCTCAGTCCTCCATGTTGGTGGCCTTCCGGATGCCTTTCCCTCCGCCTCCCTCAGAAGCTTTCACCATAATGGGAAAGCCGATCTTCGTTGCACGCTCACAGGCCTCCTCAGCGCTGGTCACCATAGCCTTGTTGAAGATTTCCTGGTGGCATCCAAAAGCTGAAACTGCCATGCCATGCTTTACTTACCCTATAGTAGATCCTATAGTTGGCTCATCTCGTCCATTACTGATTACATATGATGATATAATGTCTGTAAACGAAAACCATCTGCCCCAAACGGCCCCAAACACCCTGCCTCAGGGATCGTGCCTTCTTCGGTGAGTTGACACGTGAGCCCATCTCCACTCCACGGGATGCTGGGCACAGAAGCCGTTTGTGCCAAGATGTTGGCAGCGATCTTGTCGCCCAGGGCGGCCATGACACCTCCGGAGCACGAGGGTTGGGAAGGTCACGGTCCAATCCCAGGAAATGCAAGGGACAAGTGAAAAGTGTGAAATGTATGTATCATCGAAGGTTTCTTTTTTTTAATGGTGAGCCTTTCTCTTATTAGGTTAACGCCAAGGGCGGCTGTCCTTTTCGGCGGTCTTTGGCCATCCGAACGTCGCATGACGGAGACGATGGTTGCTTTTGTCTGAAGGAGGGCCAATGAAGGTGATCCCAATCTCCTTCAACTTCGCCGGCAGTTTGGGGTTCTCACTGGCATGCCCCCAACCAGGCCAAACAGCGTCCACCTGCATCAAATATGGTCGCGTGTCGAGACGGCAAACCCTTCCCTCCTCCCCTCCATGCATTCCATGCATTCCAGTTACATTAGTTCTCAAATAGTCAAGTGGGATGGGAATTATACATCTATATGGAATATTATGGAATCATCAAATACTATAACAAATTGTTTTGTTTCCAGGCTCTGTGGTGGTTGGAACGTATAAAGGTAGGGTGTTTCATGTTGTTTCTCAGAAGGCTTGTTTGTGGTATTTTCGTGTTCCTGTTCTCCCCTGTTTCATTGCTTAGCAGTTGATTCTCTATGAGATCGCTGTTGGCCTGTTGCCTCAATCCCTAGAGTCTGACCTGAAAACTTCTTCCAATAACCCCTATTTTGAACATGCAAAACATTGTCCAAGACAATGTTTCCAAGAGAGTAGTCCACAAACACCCTGGAATTGAACTATACAACTTGTTAAGGGGCCGGAGAAATTGTTCAGAAGAATCCGTTCGCAAAAACATCACCACTGAGGTTTCCAGTACTATAAATATGTCTGTGTCCATTGGGTTTGCCATTGCTTCCTGTTCTTTCTTATTGTTAGTCCATCCTTGGCACTGGGACTCTAATCTTATCCCTTTAAACTAAACTAAGTGCAAAAAACAACAAGCAATAAACACCAAAAACAATGAGCTATATAGACTCCATGGACTTGTTTTGGGCGCCCTCACTAAGGCTCTTCCTCAGTTGTTAGGGGGTGGAAGTTGACAGCCTTCAGCGCAAGCAATTGCCACATGGCACATGGAGCTGAATCACACAAAATGACCGGGACGGGCAGCTATAGGTCATCTTCCTTGCTTCACCCAACCCCATCAAAGTCAGCGCCTGCTGTTCTTGCGCAATGCGGCAAATGAGGTCAACATTGGCATAGTTGTTGACATTCTTGCCAGAAGGAACCTCAACGAAGGAATCGGCAAGGCGAATGAACTCTGCGTTTGCGTTCAGGTCATCCTGGGTTGCCATCGCAACAAATGTAATGAGCTGCTCTGAGCCAAACTCGGTGAAGGTCCATCTTCTCATAGATAGAATCGCCTTCACTGCTGCCATGCCATTGTTGGAGATGAGGATTTTGCGAATCACGCGCTGCCCCCCTCGCTGCTTCACATAGCTCGCCAATGGATCGAGATTCATGGCCATGATGCCGCGAATCCGCGCAAAAAAGCAACTTGTTGGATCAAGTGATCAAATGAAGATGGTGCTTGGGCCAAAAGGAAGGAGGGGGTGCACTTTCTTGGTCCCAGCATGTCCCAGCTCTGTATGTCGACATGTCAACTCAGCTCGCCGTAACGGGATCCTGCCATTCTCAACGTGCCACCCAAACTTGCCCTTCGATCTACATTTCTGCCCTTGCTCCCTAGGCTTCAACGTTCAGTTGGAGTGGGTGTGCAAAGTTGTGTTCCTGCCTGAGGTTTGCTGGTGGGTTGCACGCGGGAAATGGTCTTCACGTGTTTCACCCGGCCAAGCTGCCGTCTCAGCAAAGGAAGTCTTCAGGTGGTGACCGCCAGAAACTGCAGGCAAACGTATATAACATGTTGCGGCATGCTGATGTGAAACAAACACTGCAAACAAGCGTGGGCAAACTACAACATGAACACCTTTCTTGGACCGGCCCGGGAGGTATGTCTAAATGCTGGAACTGTATGGCTGGCATAAAGCTCACCTTTCTGTGACAAGGCACTACGTGGAAGATTGTCCTCCATCATCTGTGGCTTCCATAGACAACCTCCAAACAATCCGAGGATACAGGCTCATGTTGGGCGCAGGAAAGCCGGGAGAAACTGCCACCCAACCTATCAGGAAAACCGGATGCATGGTAGCATTGAAGCGCTCACGTCATGTGTGCTTTCGGTCCTGCCTGGCATTGCGATGCTTCTCGTTGCGTAGTAGCACGACAGCTCCCCCCAGAAATCACTTTCTTTCATTTGCAACCGAGATTTCTTTACCATTTGGTTCAGTGTGTGAAGGGGAAGGAACTCATCCTTTCCGCATGTTTTGTGCATTGTGAGTTGCGGTATGCTCTCCTGATTCTCAAGCATTTGGAGGAATAGAAGAAACATGCCCACTTTTGCAAGAAAATAGGTGACGGTATCTGCAGCTTGCTACACACACTTATCTAGGCTGATTTGTTGCAAGCGCTTGAGCCAGCAGCTAGAGCCAGCCCCGAGCCCACAAAGCTGACTATCCTTCATGTCCTTCCTTCTCGTGTCATTTTGAAACATGTGCGCCAGGTGATCTAGTGTAGCTTCGGGCAAACCAGGCCTTGTCGCCCATCTTTTCCATGCACTCTGAGGGCCAGCCACAAAAAAGTCCTATTGCTTGCTCAAGGACTCAAGGCATTACACCTTGCCGGGATGATCTCAACTTAGCATCCCGAAGCCAAGCAGCGAGTGCTGTCTCAAATGCTCATCACCCAAAGGACACTGTCACATCCCAAAGACTCGAGACCAACTTCTCTGTCTCTCACAATGCCAAGCATGCGGATCACGCTTTCAAAACCACCGGTGGCATTCTGCTCGAGACTCTTCTGCTTCTTGGAAAACACCACCATGGATGAAGAGCTGCCATTGCCCATTGTCAGCAAGCCCTGCTGCGATCCCGGCATGACCACTTGGAATCCCCGTGAGCCTACCAACGTGTCTGGGCCCACGGATGCACTAGAAAAACTAGTTTTAGAAACGCATGTTTAACTGAATTATTGCAAGGAGATTGACAGGAATGCCGCAACAGCCGTTGGCCCCCTTGCCTTGCAAAGCTCAGCGTTTTCCGGAACGGAATTCCAGTTCTTATCGTGGCATTCAATCTGATCTAAGCCAAGCGCTTCTCAAAGACCTCTCAGGCCAAATATCTCGAAGCACTCTAGAATTGCCCCCAAAGTTTAGCTATATATAATGTCATGTGTGGCCTCATCATATTTCACCGGTACTGTCAAGAGCTTCGATTCAACTTGCTCATCGTCCGCGTCCGGGCCGCGGAATGTCACCGGGCCGATGTACGCGATGTAGGCCTTCTGGGCGGCCTTCCAAGCTGGTGCCATTGCCTGGAGCCATCTTCGTCCGGAAACCCTATGAGATTCAGCCCCACACAATGTCAAGAGGAAACTCCATGGACTTGTCATCTTCTTACAGATGTCTTCTGGAATCTCGACTTCAGCCATTCTGGGTATCAAGGTTACTAGTACTCAGCCATCAAACCTTGTCCTGGACAATTTTGAGCACCGAATATATCTCACTCTCACAGCGCCTGGCAAAGGCCACATGCTGCATCTTCTTGTTGAAATGGTCAACCCTCCTGAATGCAAACATACAATGATAGTCGAATGTTGAATACGCATACTTTGACAGAATGCAACAGTAGAAGTACTAGGGTGAAATATGGTGAAATCTCACCGAGCGGTAAATGCAGATTTGGTAAGGTTGCTGCCTAGCTCTTAATGCATGCAAAAGCTTCAATATCTTTGAACTAGTAGGTTGATGTTCTCCTTCCACCTCACACACCTAACTTCAGGTGAAACAACCATGTTCCGGCGCGTCTTCTCCACTAATTAGTGTGCATTTTCCAAGGATTTCTAAGGCCTAGCACTGGCTTCCAATCTTTATCATTGCATTATATAATTCTGAAGGTCATCTGAGGCCAGGCCCTCTGACTCTGTGCACCCTCTGTGCTTATCGATGTCTACCGGAAGGGAAACTCATCTCCGAACAAGGCTCAAGCTCCCTAGAAACACTGCACTGTCGAAGACAAGTGATCTGAAAGTCTCTTCAGCTGTCCGTAACAAACTGTGGGATGTGGGGTCTCGAAAAGTGTGTTTCGGTTGAAGCTTGGTCTTAATATTATATAACCGAGTTATAGAGTTATACCGAGTTGCAGGTGCTCTGATTAATTAAGTTCGGCCTTCTTTCCAGGGGCTGTGGCTTTAGCACTACCTCCTTTCCAAGAAATGGGTGTGTGGTTCCGTCTGGACCAACCGTTTACGCGTGTGTACGCGTCCTCGGCCATCGTCGGCAAAAGCAGCCGAAGCGTATTCTCGCAGCTCAAGGCCCTCAGGAGTGGGTGCAAAACCGGATACCACTCCCATGTTTGGAGGTTATGCCCCCACCCAGTTGCTGGCCAACAGTCAATTTGGACTATATAATGGGTGGGACGCTCACACATAAACCAACTTCGGGCACTTGCACGGCAGTATACAGCTTCCGTTTTGTCCTCAAGGGTCAATGCAAAAGAGGTCTCTGGCAAAGCCTGCCGCAAACATCGAGGAAAAAACTGTATATCGTCTGCTGGCTAGGCTTCCAGTTGCTGGCTAGTCACTGCTAGGCGCAGCTAGGCAATGCACTTCTCGCAGCCAGAAAACTGTGAATTAACTGCTATGCTGCTATACATTGAGGTCATGCAAAGCTGATAAAGCTGGCTCGTCCGATTCGAACGCAGCATGTTACCAGCCTAAGTCAGAAGACCAAATTCACACATGGCTGGGCATGGTTCTGCCCAAAGTTGTGCTAAAGATTCCAGTTTGGAAAAAATGCAGGCTGATCAATAACTCAAACAACGAGTGCCCACGTTCCATCTGTCTTTGCCTGCTTCTATATAGATTCTAGAATTTGCTTCGATCAACCTTCAACAAGTGATTTAGGCACCTACTAGCCTGGTGAATGGTTGACTAGACTGACTCGGCTCATCTGGAGAGCGTCTTCAACATTTCAGCGCGTTCGCTCTCCGGGAGCTGAGCAAAAAGCTCCTGGGACGATTGCGGAGCGTGATCCTCGGAGCTCAATGTTTGAGGCTTAAGCTCCTTGTGGCTGATTTGGTCCTCGTTAGAGGGCATGACACAACCCCAAAAAAACATCTGAATGATCATTCAAGATCTAGACAGTGGGACGAAAGCTGCACCCAGTCCTGCAGGTGGGACTTGACGTAGCTGGTCCTGGAAAGGCCCCAAATGATGTAGCCATCGCTGGGGAAAGGTCCATTGGTCAACCGATGATGGTGTGGCATGGTAATAGACTAGCATTTGGTAGAAAGTATATAAAGATCGTTTCATTGCTGCATGCTGAGTGGAACGGGAACAAACGGAATGCAAAGCAAGCGATGCTGGTGACTCCTCAGCTTCACCCCAGTCCTGACGGACTCTGCACGCGTCTCCACACTTTGAGTCTCTAGCCAGCCGACCATCTTCGCATCACCTCACTTGAGCAATTCAACATTCAATCAACTTGTCCGCACAGCCCGCAAAAAATATATAAAAAACATTAATCAAAGGTGGCAAACACGTAGTTTGCGACAACTTCTGCAATCAACAGTAACGAGTTTGTGAAGTGAAGCACTGTGCATCCAAAGTCGGTCACAAAGCTTTTCACGCACAGGGTTCAATAGTACCCGGAATCAGGTTGGCTTCATGAGTGAAACAATCTCAGGAAGTGAGCTCAAGCACTTCGCTCAAATTTCAATTGTATGCCTCCAACGACGGCAAGCTCCTGCTACTTCAAGTCTGTGATGGCATTTCCGCCAGTCGGTGGAGGCCGCGGAGGCCTAATTAATCAAACGAGGCAGCGCGGCGCTCCAACTCCTAAAGCAGCGCTCGACGCAACCAGGCGCTCCAGCTGCCTCCAGCAGCGCCGCGACTCCGTGTACCCGCTCGATGCCACATATTATGCTGCTGGCCGGCCAGATTTGGCCAGATCCTGGCGTTTCAATCACCAAAGCCAAACAAAGGACACATGATGATTAAAATATGGCGACAACCAAAAGTAAAGTGTGCCATTCTCGATGATGACAAGTTTCTAACGCTCTGTGACGCACTTCACACTTCATAGTCCACAAAACCCATTCCTTCATATTCCTTCAACTAACTCCTCTGCGTCACCTTTTGCACGGCCAGTGCCATGAACTTGGCCGTGGAGTTGAAACTCACTGCTCTCACGCATCACCAACTGCTGCAGCGCACGGCGTGGCACAGCTAACTTCAACAGACTTGTAGTTCCAATGGAGCCAAGTCGAACACTTGCGCACAAAAAGGACAGCAAAGGTTGTTTCTATCATTTGGGCCATCAGCCATTGAGACGCTCAACCCGTCCACGTTCCCGCACTCGTTGAGTGCAATGATTGGCAACTTGTCCGTGGATGAAGGCCTCTGGCGTCAACATCTGAGTGAGAACTCCAAAAGGAGCCTATATAATCACACAGGCAACGCCTGGCCCAGGCACCACATGGGCTGCAGTGGGAGATACCTGAAGTGGGCAAACCTTAATCTCGAGCCAGCTCTGCTTTACATGTGCCTTGAGCCACAAAGCTCAAGCAACCAACATGCAATGTCAAAGGTTTGCGATCAGTCTTCATCAGCCTTTGCATACGGTTTGGCTGAACATAGGACACATATTCGCACATATTACAGCAACCACGGCAAGGGGCTGTTGGGATCCACATTGCTCTCAATGGCCCACTTCTCAATCAAGGCTTCACCTTCAGAGCAACCCATTCACAAAAATGATATTCTATAATTATATATAACAGGCATATCATTGACCAATGCATTCCTTCTTTCATTTGCCTGCCTTCTTTGTGGCTCAAGTTCTTGTCGGCCTTCTGTAGCTGGCGGATGAAGTGGTCCTGCAAAACGCGCCTCTTCACTCGCCAGAAGAAGAAGCGGCGCGAGTCCTCGCATGTTCACAGCCCATCCCTCACGCCAGTTTGTCACAAGAAGCCGTAACGTCAAAATGGGGCAGTTGGTCTAATTTTATCTAATTTTGACTGCCACTGCTCCTGTTCTATAGTTTGTATTCCAACCTACACTACGCGTGTGGGATGTATTATTGTTTGATCATCAAACAGTCTCAAGCAAAGTCCATCTGATGCATCTGCGTCCTTCCAGGAGATCCCTTCCTTGATGACACCTTTGGCTTTCATTCGCCCGGCACGGTCATGCAAGTCCGCGAATGTCGTGGCTACCGAGGTGTACAAGGGCAGCAGCTGCTTCTCCCTCGCCTGGTGATGTGTGAGTGGCGGCCCACTCGCTTTTGAGGATCAGGCGGGAGTCCAGGTGACGGCTCAAGTGACTGATGTCCAGGTTGTATCATTCGTTAGTCCCGAGACTAGGTTGTCGTAATTTGGATTCTCACTTGTGCTTGACAGGACTTCCTATGTTTTTTGGGCAAACCCGCCTTATCCTGTAGATTCTCAATTCATCGAACACAGTCTCGACTTGCCCTGTTTCGACGTGTCTGCGACTAGGGGGCAAGCTAGGCTACGACCTTCTAGGCGGTGAATGCAATCGCGTGCTTTCTGGATCGATCCTAGAAAGTCGGGTCAACTGTGGTCAACCCGGTTGAAGAGAATCCTTTCAAGGCCTTGATCTCCTTCTCAAGACTCGGCTTTGCTTCGTCACTCAAAGATTCCAAGTCTGCATCCATCTTCTGCAGCTTCGGATCGAGGCGATGCATGGCCTCCACCTGACTGGCACGTCTTCGGACATGAACGAGCAGTTTAGTTTGGGCTTCCGCACCTGCTGATGTGTACGGAACTTGACCTCCACAATGCCCGGAGGCTCCAAGATGCCCCCACGCGAGTCCAAATCTGCGTACATCTCCATCTTCTCTGGGTTAATGGCAGGGTCAATCACCACCCAAGCGCCACCCCGCAGCTCGCCATGCTTGGGGATGTAGATAAAGATGGGGTGCTGGTACTCCACCAATGCATCAACAATCATGGCACCAAACTTCAAGATCTCGTTATACATATCACCTGAGAACATCTGGGACAAGAGTAAGTGGAGTCAACAAAACAAGACCGTCTGATCACTCCACCCAACTCTACTCCCGCTCACCCCACCACTTCAGGCCCAGGCCAGGTCCAACGCTAGAACGAACATCGAAGCAAAAAATAACTAAGAGGGTAGAATCGGTGACTGGCCCGTAAGACCAAACAATAGTATTATATATATCGTAATATTTATTTATGACAATAACATAGAATAACATAACATAACCCTCAACTTCAACCTGGCCGACTGTGACTCGATTTGTCCCAAGACACGGGTGCCACCACTGAAGCCTCGCCAGTTGGCAAAGATCATCACCGGCAGATTCTCCCCATGGTTGAAATCCTTAAGCGCCTGGGCCGTCTTGAAGGCGCTGTCTGGAAACCAGACCTTTCCACCCATCGTCTCCTTTGGACGGGAGGCATGCGAAACTCGGTTACAAACAAGTGGCATCAAACACAGAAGGATGCATCACGCTCATTCAGTTTATTTAGAATTTCACCTTTTGTCGTTCTAGTGGCAGGCTCGAACGCAGAAGATATCGTACGACTTCCAGTCTTTATCAGTCTTTGAGTCTTTGGTCTCATCCCCGTCTCCTTCATTTCACGGCTTTCAGGGTTGGAGGGATCGGCAGGGACCAAGCGTTCCACGGCTCTCGTCTCGACTGCAATGACGCCCATGGGAATTCCCCCGAGGCGTGCACGGCCCACGACGACGGTCTGACCCCAGCCCTCCAAGTATTCGGTGAAGGAGCCTGCATCGAAGAAGCCCCGGAGACGTCGGCCTTCATAGTCAATGACACCCCTCAAGAAGTCGCGAGGGTCGTAGGGAAGAGGTGAAGGCTCAAACTCCACATCACGGTCCCATGGATCAGAGCTTGAGGAAATAGGAGGTGGACAAGAGACATCCTTAGGCACAAAGCTCAACCAATCCAGAATAGCCGACATACCTTCTTGATCATCCCTCACCACTTGGTGTGTCACGCCGTTGGGCACCATGATTTGAGGACCTCCCAACTGGTCCTGGGAGGAGTACACATTCTTCCCAAGGAGTTTGTTCAAGGCGGAGTAGCCGGTGAGGATCATGGGGCTGCTTACCATCTGAATATTCCGCTGACCCAAGCGATTCAGGTAAGCACCGATGCCCACTGAACGCCCGGTGATGTAGGAGAGGGTAAAGGTTTCCTGCAGTGGCATTTGCTTCACGCATCACCACTACCCGAACAGGCTGAACACCAGCACAATTTATAAACTATGATTCTATAAGTTTCGGATGGTGACTTGCTATTAAACTTGCTGGGCTACGACCCGGTCCTGGTAGGCTTTGCTGGTTTCACCAGCAATGAGGCCACTGCCCTGCAAATTCTCCACACCAATTCCACCCTCAGTGCTCTTCATACCTTCACCAATGATGGCATCCAAAACATACCGTTCTTCTCCTGCCTCCTCGACCTTATGAGCCTCCACACTGCCTGCAGGCAGCTTCTCATAGTCATGCTTCAGCAAATAGAGATATTCGAAACCCTTGTTGCAATCAGAAGGGTCAAGCCATTTCACATTGAAGAGAGGCTTCAACTCTTCGACCAAGCCAACCCTGGCCCCACTATTGCAGGACACGTAGATGCGAGGCAGGCCGCGGTCTCGAGCGAACTCGGAGGCCTTTTGAAAGAATCGATCCTCCCTCACGCCAAAGGAGCCCGCTTGGAAGGTCACGTCGTTCGAAATCAAAATGACATCTCGACCCTCCGGGTATTCAGGGGTCTGCATCGTCAGCCTCCAAGCCAACATGCCAACGTCGTTGCTTCCCTCCAAACGCTCAGTTTCAATCAGTTCCATCTTGGACCAATCCTGAGACTCAAAGTACAGCAAAATCCCAAACAAAAACAGCAACATATATTGTGGTGCAACACATGACCTATACATACTTTACCATACTTATATTATGCATGCTATCGAGACTCCATCACCAATTCCTTCGCTTTCAGGACATCTTTGGGCATGTTCTCCACCTTTGATGGCACTGTACGGCCTCGTGGTGAGGGGCTTCGGCGGCGGGTTCCAGTCGCTTGAGATCCCTTTGCTCTGGACTCCTCAGGAGCTGAGATCCATTTCATCCTCAAGGCTAGTTGAAGCATTCCCGGCAGGTCATAGGCATAGCTTGATCCAGCACGACGCGCTGCCACCCGCTTGGCCTGGTAGCTCTGGGAGCTCGACTGATCCACGACTCCATCGGAGTGATCTTCCCAGCGCAAGGGGAAGCCGGTCACGGGGTCTGGGATCTCGCGCAGCAGCTTCGGCTTGAAGAACCCCCCATGCAACGAGGAGAAGGAAAAGCGCAAGATCTCCAGGCAGCTGTTGTCTCGGACATGCACTTTCCTGACATGCCCCGGCGGCCGTATAAGGAACGGACCCAGACTATAACAATGTTGCATCTTGGTTGGTAATCCGCAGCATGTCAAGTCCAAGATTGTCCAAAACATCTATGTATCCGTGACAACTTGGTGGCAACCTGTGATAAGGGCAATTGTTGAACCGTCAAACCATTCTTGACAAAATCCAAGATTCACTTCAATCTGGTCCACATAAAGCTTGATGATGTCAGAGCCACGATGTCCCACATGGCTGCTGATGGTGTCCATAAAGAGCTGTTGAATCTGGGCTTTGGGCATGTCCAGCTCAGCCACCAGGTGCAAGAAGATCCGACTGGTGATGGTAGGTCCAAACTTGGAGACCTGCCACGGGCAAAACGGTGGGATCAGTCTCCAGCTGACAAACCTGACAGACCTGACAGATCTGTCCGTTCACTTTGGGGGTTGGTTGACAATTGACATTCCCAGGGACTCCTCTAAAGAAACTTCTTGAAACAGGGTCGTGACCCTCATGCCACATCATGCCCCACACTTGGAGACCTGAGGGTCCAGCAGCGCATGCTCAATCTCATCCAAGGCCATGTCCAAGCTATCAGAGAGATTTGAGCTCAATGACTCTGGGTTGATCTTGGACAGGTACAATGCACGCATCAGCAATTCAGGTGCCGGAGCCTTTCCACCTAAACTGGGCTGTGTGGCCAAATAGATGTGGGAAGTTGGGCGCACCTCCTTGTGAATGCGCTGGAGTTGGTAAATCCTCTTCAAAGACCCAAGCTCCAACATGCCTTGGAAGGAAGGCCACATGTCTCGACCAATCTCCTGCTCGGACCATTCTTCCATCTCGTCCAACATGAATCTGGCGAATCGTGGATGGCGAGGTGGCTGTGGCAGCACCAAGCAAATCTCGCCAACACCCGCAAGTTTCCTTGGTGCCACCAAGTGACTTTCATGGGGGAGCTACCCTGGGGAGAAATGTGCAGGACCCTTACATACCCAGTGTTCCAACGCTAGCCCAACATTAACCACCACAAGAAAACGATCGCAGGGCGGGAGCCTTTGGGCACAACAAAGTGCAAAAAAGTTTCAGAAGCTGTGCTTTCTTCGCGAAGACTTCCTGGCTCTGCTGCAGTACCTTCTTCAGCTCAGCATCAGTGTTGTAGAACAGGGTGCGGTCTGTCACTGCAGGGAAGGCATCGCGTCCGACCACCACGTGCAGAAAGTTCAATGGCACAGCGCCACCACCCAAGGCCTCCAATTCCGGCAGCCTTTGATCCAAAGCGCCTTCCATGTGCTCCAGATCAGGTAGAACCAGCATCAGCCCATGCCTATTATGCACCTCTGTATCCACTGGGAAGAACTGAGTCCACAAAGCTGACTTCTCCTGGACCTCCAACTTTGCGAGCCGCCCAGGTTTAGCCAGCCAGTAGAGGTATGAGTGCATCGCACGCTTCTGCACCTGGATCTCAAAACATTTTAACACGGCTCACCGCACTTCACCCTGTGGTATCCCCATAGCGCCCTTGCGTTTCTCCACATGTTCATTTCAGTTTTCTGTCCATGCGCCCAACACCCTCAGCCGACACGTGGAAAAAGTAGAACCAACATTAAGAACATAGCCCCCACGTGCCCACACAACCATTCCACTCCACCGCTAGCTGTTGGAGCCGCACCCCTAAAAATACGAAAGTTATCATGCCTTGAGATCCTCATCATGGAGAGCTTCCACCAGAAGCTCCACCTCCAAGTTGCCCTCCGAAGCTCCTGGGAGCTCCGAACCAGCCAGCTGGAAGGCCTGCAGGCGGAAGCGGCAAAAGCAGCAGTCCCACTGACTTTGACTCTGATTAGTAAGGCGATCACTTATATAAACTTGTCCATTTGGCCCATGTAGCATGATGTAGCCACTGGGGCGAAGTACATACATGTACATACTAAACTTACTATAATAAAGAAACACAAACTCAGGATGCTCCGTTTCTCGCTCAACTTAGGCAGCTTTCTTGGAAATCACAATCCAGTCTCAGGTTTGGTTCAGTGCAAGTGGCACAAAGAAACACCTTCAAGCTGAACAGCCACCGCCCACGTTGGGAGTTGAAGAAAGGCGGTAATTTAGCATTAGTTAGCCATGCAGAAAGACAAGGAACATGAGGCAAGTATATCACCAATTCGGGATGTTGAGAAATGTTGGGACTGTGCATGTCAGAATCAGAAACATGTTGGATGATGTTGGATGCTTTTCAGCCATGACATTCGCATCAGCTGGAAAGGTGCCAAGAATGCATGCTAGGATTGTTCCGTCAACCTTCAGCATCGCTTCAACTGGATGCGCCAGGCGCCTTCTCATCCAACTGTACCAGCTGCTCCCTCAAGCCTCTGAGACGCTGTGCATGGGATTCTGTGGGCAACACATCCAGCAGCCTCGGCCAGTGACAGATCTGATTGTGGGAGCAATCAATACCCTTCCTTCCCACAAACAGCCCAAAACGCAGGACATCAATATCAATAATCTAGATAAACGGTCGCAATCAAGATGCATCGATCTATCAACATGTCAAAAAACAACATGTATCTGCCTGAAGACTTCTCTCCTACTGTACGAAACAAAAGGCCATGGGACTGCTGTGCCAAATATCGCACGTTGCCGTAATCACCGGCCACTCCGGCAGTGCTCGGCAGCTGCGAAATCTCCAGGATCTTCTGGTGCACAGCACTGTCCATGTCATCTTCCCGCATCTCTGGCACATACCTCCGATGTTCATTACAGCCGCAACCAAGCACAAACACACCTAACCAAGTAAAGACTGTGCCTATATGCAATCCTATGCATGACAAGTCTGTCCTTAGCCTCTGGGGATCAATCACCTCAACCACGCCAAGCGGCATGCAAGACATGCCTGAGCCTTCAGCTGCCACCATCTCACGGAGGATTGCCATGATGACGCCATTGCGCTCGGCCATCTTGTTGTGGGCAACGAGCATGAATAGCACCTAGCCGTGACGTCCGTAGTTTTGAGGATCCTTGTCACACATACATACACATGCAGACTGACGATGCCTCATAATGCCTGAGAGCTGTGTCGACGGTTCACAGTATCCCCCTATATTATCAATATGGCCCTGAAAACATCAAGTCGAACATCGCAAGGTGGTCGCACTCCCTCAAGCGCTTCTCATGTCTCATATGCAGAAGAGTTGCCTTCTGGAGATCGTCCTTCCCCTCATTGATCAGCTCCAGCAGGAGCTGGTCATAAGGCTGCCTGGCTCAGTTGGCATTTGACTTCACCCTTGGAGCCTCCAAAAATTGAGCTTTCTTCAACCCACCAACAGCTATCAAGCTCAAAGTCATTAGCATCATACAGACTGAAGCTGCCAGGTCACTTCTTCTCGATGGAGGCTGCAAAAGGCCGTTCATTGGACAAATACTTCTCCAAGACCCCGCGCACCGTCTCAGCTGCCACCTCGTTGTTGGCAAAGCTCGCAAACATCTTCCTGGGAGCCACTGCCCGCAGGCCCCAGAGAAGGTCGTGCTGAGGTAGGTGCCCCACTCCAGTGGGTTTGTAGGTGTGTTTCTTAATATGTGCAAGTGGATTCAAGTGGTTTTTCCGAAAGATGCAAATATTGTCAGATTAGGGCTTTCATGGGCTTTCAAAGCTTACTGCATCTTACTGTACCACGTCACACTGCCTGGACATGATGTGAACTGACAGCTATATAAATGGTGAAGGTCATCTACAGTCGCAAATTATATTCTATCTCAACTGCTGCAAAAAGAACCTAAAGCCCTAAGCATCCCTAAGCCCTGACTCGCTTGATTTACTTCGGTTCTAACCCCGTTGAAGACCTCCAAGAGGGCCCACCCTCAGCTGCTCGTCGAGCATCTGAACCACCAGCGGACCCTTAGCATCAATGCTGTAGCCGTCCAGCAGCGCCAAAAGCTCCTCACGAGGCTCCAAGTCTTCTGCCTCCTCAAGGCCGGGGCCCTGCCAATGACCTTCAAAGGGCAGGATCTTCTTCACCTCCGGGTTCGGCGGCTGGCATTAGCGGCCTCTACGTTGGGAGACACATCTGTTCCACGTTGGGAGCCTCAAAACGGTTCCCTTGCTCTTTTGGATGACGTGATATGCCGATAGGTGCGCCAATTCTAAAGGGCTATGACCAACGCCCCTTGGCAGCTTTGGCGTCTTCTTGTAGATGTAGCCGTAACCCGCCTGGTCAGGTTCCTTTTGGGGGGTTGACCCTGGAAGTTCCAATGTCCCGTATGATAACCTGAGAACGAGTAGAAGGCTGTCTCGTGTAAAGCTATATAGATTCCCCAACACCCAGGGGTCAAGTCTTGCTGTGCTGAACTCTGGCTGGACCGCAGCGATGTTTGGGTTTGCTGTTTTCTATTGTGCATGTTGCATGGGGCCTAGGCACGTGTAGCACTGTAGCACGCGCAGCACTGTGTGACTCCGTCGCCAAATAACGAGGAAAAAAGCACATCATCCCTCAGGCTTGATCACCGCCATCACGTCCCAAATCAATCGCGAGACGTTTGGCAAGCTTTGGCCCTTGCAGCCTTGTAAACTCAGAGACTTTCGGAGAACTCCTTACTTGCCGGCCGAGCCATCCCAGCCTTGGAAGGGTCCTTCAACTCGAGCTTTGCCAGCAGCTCCCCCGCTGACACGATGCTGCCCGCCGACAGCGCATGGCTCACACGGCCAGCCTGACAAAATCTGGTGACCGGCAAAGCCTGCAAAGGGGAATAGGCATTCTAGAAAAGTACACGTGAACTAGGGAACGGATCTTGGTTTTCAGGACTGGCTAGCATCTGGCATTTCAGACTGCTATAGCTGCTAGATTCGCTAGATTCTAGTAGGCTGTGTTTGTCAAACCTTGAGCATCAAGTAGAACGGCAAGTAAGCACGCTTTATCCACCCTGCAGCCTCAGGAGACTTCAAAGCCATGATCATCTTCATGGCCTCCAATTCCTCATCCAAGTGGATCAGCCAGCCGAAACCAAGCGACAGAATCTTTGAACAGCTGGAGTGGGGGTGGGAAGACTATAACAACTACAACCAAAGGACTTAATCAATCATTCATCATTGGTGTCCGCTCTGAACTCCAAGGCGCCACATATGCCTCGCCCTTGGCAATCTCAGTGCCCTCATCGTGCAAGTAGCGGACCACCTTCCCATTCACATCCGAGCGCAACTCGGAAGGATCATAGACGTTGGGGACCATGATGGTCTGGCCACCGATCACCAAACGAAGACCCAAGGCCTTGCAACTTGCTCTCAAGCATTCTCATGTCAGTCCATCGGCTGAGACAAACAGGACAATTCTCTGGATCAACTGAGCGAAATCCGGCCTCTTCTTGCCCCTTGACCTGCTGGCTTTGGCGGCCCACCCGAACCTCAAGAGCAGGCAAGCCCTGACATGGCCTCTCTCGCACAAGGTGTAGCTCCGAGACTTTAAGCCAACCCTTGCTTTGCAAAGCCAATGCTTTAGGACCGAGATGCATATAATGAGCCATCCGGCTGCTCCCTTACCTTGGCCTTGATGGTCTGGTCATTGATGCTGAAGCAATAAATGTCGGCCCGCCTCCTGCCAAATAACAAGTTGTTCTTGCTGCTTTCTTGCATCTTCCTTTGAGGAGTTCCACCTGAATGTGAGGCAACCAACTTCAGGGTGTCAAAACACCCTAGGCCCCACACTCCTGGACACAGAGAAAGAAAACTTCTTCTCATCATAGGTGACATCAATGTGGAAGGAGGTGAGGGCATCTGTGTCCTTTGGATGCAACACAGAGCTCTCCAAACGGTGCTGTGCGTCTGATGTACTTCACACAACACCAAGAACAGAAACCAATTTTCCAACGACATCCTGACGCCGAGGGCTTGCCAGTTCGGTGCTTCCAAAAAATACACTAACACGTGGGTAGACAGCAAATGCAAACTTTCACCCTCAATATGATTCATGGCAGCGTTCCGGTCTTATCTTATATAAGCTTGGTAACCTTGGCCATTCCAGCTCACGACAACAGGCCCACCAAGTGTCACTCTTCCCCAGCAGCACCAACTGACCCTTCTGCATAGAATGGATGGCTTCCAACGTGCGGCTCTTCACTGTCTCAAATGCTCAGAATACAGCAGCATAGAAGACCACCTGGCCATTAACATAACGACGTGACATAACTCTGCAAGGTAATTTATATATGTTTTAATGACCAATTTTGACTATTGATCAACCTGCTGATTGACCAACCCCCTATAGCCCATAGGGATAATGAACATCTCAATATGTGCAGGTAAGTGCTCATTGGTCAACAGTCAACCTTATTGTAATTTAGCTGCAACATACTGATACTTCTCGCAGGCAAACATCTTCTTGCTGTGTTCTCGGAGCTGCAAGACATGGTACTGCTGGATGCTACATCCCGAACGCGAATTCCATGGGGAGGCGAAAAAAACATTCTTCCGGCAAATCATTGAAAAGCAAATAGTGCAACAGGTTCCATAATGTTCCATACAGCCTTCAGTACTTACACGCCCTTTTCCCGCCTCCATCGCCCCCAGGCTAGGGGCAATGGCCTTGCTGGCAATCAGGCCATCCAGCCACATGGTGTCGATGGTGTTCTCCCGGTATTCCTGGAGTCAGGCGCCCAGGCAGCCAAGAGCCTTGAGAAACGTGAACAAAAATCCGAATGTTTTGATTGAGCCTTTGATCTTGGCTCGACAGACATTCCAGTCCTTGGTCTCAATGAGATCCACCAAATAATCGACTGGGTGTCGGATCTCACCGCTGATGTCCAGGTTCATCAATGCGAAACGCAAGCTCTTCCTGGCTGCCTCCCGGTTGGGACCCTTGGCGAAGATGTGCCCAAACCTGTCAAGATGCCGTCCGACACTGCATGAAGCCACTATTCAAAGCACGATGTTCATCCTAGTCCGTCTTCCAGAGTGCTGCGCAAAGCTTAAATGACATGGTCAAAGTAAGAATATATATATATATGTGATAAGAAAAAAGGCACATCAACTCAAACCGAAACGGCTAAGGCAGCTAAGGATAGCAAAGGAGCTGGGAGTCCGCAAATTCATGGATGCCACCCTTTAAGCCAACACTGAAATATCCCCAACAGTCGCCTCATTCCAACCGGGCCAAACTCAAGGCCATAAAAGACGACTCCACCGACTACAAACATTTGAGGAATCATTTCTGTAAGAAACAACACGGTCATTGATAGAAAAAAAGCAAAGACATGCTTAAGATTCAAGCAGGCAACACTGATGGAAAACACATCTGAAAAGCAAAGGATAAATATGATAAACAAAAAACAAAACATGTTTGAAACAAGAACATACAAAACACAAAAACTTGTTCGTGTGATGGCTCTGGGCGGCCCGAGGACTGAAACCTCACACTGTTGATCTTTCCACTTGTGGGCTTGAAGCCCTCATCGGGGTTCTCGGCGGTGATCCGGCTGGCGCAGCAGTGGGAGGTGATGGGTGGATAGTCCACGGCGAAGAAATCAATCGGAGAGTTTTGGGTCGGGTCCATGCCATAAAACCTCGGATGAGAGGCAGGATATGTCCAAAACACATGATCACATGGTCAAGACTTGTTTTGTCAACACATGCTCGACATATTAGAGTCTAGTGTATAGTATGGCTCTTGGGTATGGGATACAGAAACGATTGAAACCATCTAAACAGTGTGCCAAACCTCCGAATGTCCGGGATGTTGTACAGGGGCAAGCCCATGGCGATCTGAAGCTGCGTGGCAGGCATGTTCACGCCAGTGATGGACTCGGTGACTGGATGTTCCACTTGAAGACGGGGGTTCAACTCCAAGAAGCAAAAGGTATGCGTCTCCGGACCTTGCTGTGACTCTGCAACTCTCTGCAACTTCAGGTGGTTCAGTGTCGAATGGGTTGATGTGGATGTGTGTAATTATTCATTTGGACGTGCGTGATTAAATAGTGTGATCAGCAAGGGTTGATGAACGTTCGCCAAAATAATGCCATCTGCTTTGGAGGAACTAAAGCAATTCACATCATGGCCTCACCGCAAGAACTCTGGATAGTCCAAATGACCGAAAGAGCTGTAGTATGTGATTGAGTGCTGTCAACTGCCTTGATAAGAATGTATGTATAAGGATCCAATCTGGAGGCCGGGGTCTTGCTCGTGATTCTCTAGATATACAATCGAGAGACAGGCTGCCTATTATATGAACAAGCAAACACACAAGCAACAACAAGAAACTGACTAGTATTACTTAAAAGTTAAACATACATAAAAATAAGTATTATATATAGAAAATAAGTGTTTCTTTTCTTTTTTAAATATGTGACCCAAAGTTGAGCCCACAGTGGCAGAAAAAGAATTAAGGACATTGATAAGGTCAGTTTGTTTAGTTTGACATTGATCAATGACTTGAAGATCCACACTCTGATGGATAAGGGTTTGGTGCAAGCGCATTGCGAGTCCAAAGGACTGTAGAGATATTCCACCGTCCCAGCTCCCCTGTAGCCCACCAAGGCCGTCAAACGCATGGCCGCGCGCTCCATCTCATGAAAGACCTCTTTCTTGGCAATGGTCGGTGGGCCTTGAATCGTAGCGTTGAGGCTGAAGCAAAACGAACTGAAAGGCTGAAGCAGGCTGAAGCATTTGATGCGGTCCATCCAACAATTACAACGTCAATTTGATGGATGGCTCAGTGTGATGAATGAAGCTCATACTGGCATCCTTATACAGTATATCCTTAGTGTATCAAACAAAGGCCGGCGGCCTGAACGTACCAACACTCCAGGTTTATCTGTCACAGGGAGCCAAAAACAGCTACACTCCCCGATAAAATCATGGAAGTGGAAACTGTTTGTGGAGGAAAATGGTCTCCACGGGGCTATGTCATATGTTTCACATGTTTCACTTCCATGATTATTTCAGGGAGCGTACACAGAGAAAACCACCATCAACAAGCAGTGCAGGCCGAACCTTCTTCGAAGATCTTCTGGAACCTCCTCTGAGTTGAGCAGTCGCGGCCGTTCAACGCCAGGGTGTTCCCATACTCGTCTCCCAGGATTTGAATCTCCAAGTGTCTCGCCTTGAGGTGGCTTGGTGGGTAGGCTGGTAGGCCCATATTGACACTATACGGAAGTGGAATGTGAGGAGAGGAAGACCAAGAGAAGTTCAATCATCCTTGGAGCGCTCGACACTCCTCCGGTCCGACTTCACGGCCCACCACAACTGTTTGGTGCTTTAGACAACGCCAAACTTGGTACACGCCCTCGGCCCACTAACCACCACGCATCCAACTACCAACAAGCCAAAAAAACTCAGAGAAAATGATACATTAAACTAGAGGACTTCTATTATTTGGGGTTGCAGTGCCTTGGAGACCATCCGCATGAGGAAGATGGGCGACCCAGGTACCTCGGTGAAAACGTTGGTGTAGGCCACTTTGAGCTCCTTGTGGCTAAACCAGGCAATTCGGGGTAAATGTTTTTCGGCTGCAACTCAAAAGGCTTTGGGCTTGAAGGTGGCAACAAGAATGAGGTCTTGAGCAGTTAGCAAATTGGAGCTGGAACCTGGTGTCTTCTAGCAGCTGGAACCATCTTCCACCTCTCGAGATCAACATCGGCTTGGAGCCACTCTTCTCAGTCCTCCATGTTGGTGGCCTTCCGGATGCCTTTCCCTCCGCCTCCCTCAGAAGCTTTCACCATAA